CTCAAAGATGCTGCCACAGAACTGTGATGGCTACAGAAAAGATGTGGGACAGAGACATCTTTGCACTCCCAAACCCTGGGGAGGGCAAAGGCAGGGAACTGTAAACAAAAACCTCAGGAGTGACTACAGCATTGTCAATAGCAGATCCAGATGCTACTGTAGGAGCCAGCACAGAACTGAGCTCTCTGCTGCACTGCTCAGGACAAAGATAACTTTGCTGATGTCTCCAGAACCACTGAGTCCTTCCCATGGCTGCATTAGCACTGGTACCATCAAAGAATGGACTGTAAGCAGATACGTCAGAAGTGGTTTAATAAATGCACAGGGTGCTTGGTTTGGTTTGGAACAGCCAATAAGAGCTTGGCTGCTTGACTATGCTTTGTAGGATCACACATTTACTGTTACCATTTCACAATCCAGACCGAAGAGAGGGCTGCTGTCTGTCCTCTGAAGATCACACTCTGTGTACATATAATCCTTACATCCTGGTGAATCTAAAATGAAAAGACACATTTAAGACACAGACCTCTTTCTTTTAATAGTTATCATACAACATACATCACCAAAAATCTCATTCATTTTCAAAATTAAAAAAAAATCATACCAACGAAAACCTCAGAAAACCAACCTCTCATGGGATAATCATTCTTTTTCAGCTCTTCCGAAGTTAGAGTATAGCTCGTGAGGCCTCGTTTTTCTCTGCCATATTTCCGGATGATGGGATCACACTGCAAGCCTGAGCTTTCAGGGACACATTCAACACCAGTGGAAATCAAGCCTGGAATGTACAGAATGGTCTGTCAGGATCAGACAGCACTCCTTACTTGCAGTCTGCACAAATAGGCACATTCAAAGGCTACACCATTTCAAAAGAAAATGCATGGAACAAACTGTACATATATCAGGATACTTAATATACACTGGCATACAAGTTTATCAGGACACTTAAATCTACTAGCAGCTTGTGAGCCGACTGTACTCCAAATCTATCTCACATTCCTCTCAGCTGAACAGAGGGGACACCTTCCTGTGAAGCACGACAGCACAGTCACTTGTTATCTCTTGTAAGCCACAAAAAGCAGCTCTCTCTTCTTTCTACTTTCTCTACAAATTTATTTCCCCAAAGTATTATTCACAGAAAATGTGCTGTAAGTGTGGCTCTAGAAGCAAGCACTGAACTGACATCACGATCCACAACTGTATAACCTTTACTATTTTGTAGGTGATCCTCTGCAGGCTGCACTTCTAGAAAACTGTACCTGATGTCTCAGCTCTGTGACAGTGCATCAGGCTTACAGACAGGGTGCTACAGGACTCTCATTACAGTGAAAGTAACAGCTGCTCAATCTCCCACTTAGGACTTGAATTCAAGATCTTTGTGTTACACTTCTAACAATTTCAGTGAAGTTCTTTCTCATGGTAGTTTTGCAGATTTTTTACATGCCTGTTGGATTACAGTTACCTCTATAAAGAGTGTAAAAATAGGGTATCAGTTGTCAACACACCTGTTCTTTACCTTCATTTGCAGCTCAGTACAACTAAAAAATAACAGACCCATCTTACAATAAAATAATCACAAAAGGGGTAATGAAGCATCAGAATTTTGTATTAAACTTGTCAAAAGAAAATCTTCTTTTTGCATTTACTTGTTACAATAAACCCCAGAGAGTTCCTGAAGTAGTCAGTGTAAGTAGACTCTTGGCATAAGCCATTACACTTTTTCTTTTTACTATAGCAGCATGCTAGGATCGCACAGGGTGCAAAGATATTCAATTACTCCTGAAAATGAATTGCTGCAACTGAAAGAGAGAACTCAAAGCCAAGTGAGGTACCTTGTGCAGTGCCTTGAGGATTCGGGTTCGCTCCTTCGCCACACAGACTGGTTAGGAAGTTAGCTGAAGGGGGTGGTAACGTGAATCTCTGAAAACAGAGATGTGTTAGAGACTTGGAAACACAGCAGAAATGTCAAGCATATAAGATGCCTCTTTATCGCCAGTCCACTCCAAGTTAGAGAAGGAAGGACAGAAAGGAAGTATATTTGGCATTTTCTGAGGAAAATTTAAAGAAATCTGTTCTCATGACACACAGTATAGAATTGTATGTTACAAGGAGAAAGCTTTGCCTTCACTGATGTGATTAAGAACACAAATCCCAGTCCTACACTGATAAGGACCTAAAGCAGTTCCAGACTTTCCATGATTTTGCATTTGCTGCAGTTTGGGGAACTATGCTAGATCAAAGCACTCTTCCCTTTCCCTTTCCCTTTCTCTTTCCCTTTCCCTTCCCCTTTCCCTTCCCCTCCCCTCCCCTTCCTTTCCCTCCCTCTTTCCCTTTTCTCCTTCCTCCCCTCCCTCCTTTCTTGATTTTGCTTGCAGCTCAGAAAATTAAAATGACTCTTAATAATCTTGAAATAAATGGGAGAAACTTGACATAGAGCACACACAGATTTTTCAATCAGTGGGAAGGGAACAGCATAACTCTATTAAGATTCTCCTCACTCACACCCAAGAGCATATTTCAAATCAGCAGAGGTATTTTTAATCTCCCAGGCAGCCTGAAGAAGTCAGAAGCATTGAGGACTGAAATGCCACAGCATAGACATTTCACCTGGTAAGGCTGCAGAGATCTAAGCCTTGAAAATCTGCTTCTCACACTGCAGCCCTGGCCTCAGCTTGAGCTGTCAGAGCCTAGAGAGATGCTCTCATTCACTTGGTGAGCAATCAAAGGCGGCCGCTTCCTGCTGGAAAGGCCACAGTCTCAAGCAAGCAGTGGCAAGCAGTAACCAGGGCACAGCTTCAGCACTGGAAGAATTTTAGTAGACAGCAGTGCAGGGACTTACGTGCTGGAACACTTTTCGGAGGTGTTTGAACTGTAAATAGAATTTGTAGAAGTGGAGCTGGCTCATTTCATGCAGAACAATAACCACAACCCCAGCCAGACGGCTTTGGTGATAAACATGGCACCAGCTGCAATAAAACAAATAAATAAATGAATACATAAAACTCAAAGCAACACAATCATCATGCACTCTTAGAAACAAACTTGGAGCCAGACCAGCTTTTAAGTCCATCAATGGCAAAAATGTCAAGTGACTTCAGTGAGAAGAGGCTCGTATCGCTTGTCTCAGCCAGCCACAACACAAGAGACACAACACAAGAGACAGAGAAAGAATGAGTTGTACCTGAACTCCACTCCTGGCTCAGATATAGGTTCAGGTCTTACCATACCTCATTTATATGCACCAGAATACAAACACAAACCAGTATCTCCCGCTGTAGTGATGCAATCTGGTCAAACTAAGATTACTTCATCAAAATGAAAAATTCACAAAATCATTTTCTATTCAGTACTGAAAGCCTGAAATGTTTTTTGCATGTAGCTTTACTGCAAGACACGCTGCATGTCACCAAACTTGAGTCAACCAAGGCTATATACCCCCTCAGCCTTTCAGCAGGAAACACAAGAGTTACTGAGAAGATGAAAAAGGGCAAAGTGACTAAATCGGCTTTCCCAAAACACTCCAGAGAAAACACTTCAAATACACCTGGCACAAAACAGTATAGTGCTAACATTTTAACAGCACATTTCTTTTCTTGGTGTGTGAAGCTGCTGCTCCACAAATTTTGTTTCTGTGACTGCATGAAACAAAAGTATGGAATGCTAGAATTTCTGTGAGAATTCTGGTCTGCAACCAAGCCTAACATGAACCACATCTATGTAATGCAAGCTGTCAGTATGGCCTTGTAAGAGTCCCAGAGCACAACTGCCTTCAGAGGCTCGCACAGCACAGGGGGCACAGCACAGGGCTGCCTCCTGAGCACAGAGGTGCTGTACCTGGGCTGGGCTGCATTGTGGCGTTTCCCCAGGGCTGCGTACTGTAGCAGCTCGTACAGCTGCTCTGGGCTGATCTCACAGTCCTCACCAAGCAACGCTGCAGACAAGCGAGATGACTTCTCCTGGGAGAAGGAAAATGCCAGTAAAGAAAGGTTTCGTGTGACCACACACATCTGTGGAACAGGAGGTGAATTATGCAGTAAAACAGTGTACTGTTTGGGCAAAAGCAACAGCATGTAAAATAACTCCTCCATTCATTAAGGTTTCTTTTGAGCCCACATTTCAACATCAGAGTTACCATTAGCATCTCAGTAAGGTACTTCAGAGATGTCCTGCAAAGACCACCACATGCAGACATCTGCATTTACACAAGCTGCATGCAGCTGTCTCACATGTGCTTCGACAGAACCATCTGCTTTGTGTAACTGCATCAGCTGTTGGGGCATTCACTGACCCTGCTGCAAAAAGTGTTTCACAGCATCCAAAGGAGCTGCAGGCAGAGAGGGTCAGAGACAGGACAGAACCACACAAATTAGCACAGCAGTTCGTTAAGCCATGATCCCAAATTTACCAGCTCTCCCAAGCCTTTTGGCAAGCATATACATTACCTTGGAGAACTCCAGTGACTGTCTGGCCACGAAACTGACATGACCAGTAAAAATTTTCCAAGATAGTATTTTATTACATAACAAGTGGACATCACCAAGGGCAGATCATACCTGACCCATCAGGTGACCTTCTGCAATGCAGTAACAGCACTGGTGGACAAAGGAAGAACAACTGATGATTGCATGGACTCATGTAAGGTCTTCGACATGGACCTGCTGTGTTGGACACAGCACCCGGTGGGACCTGGACAGGCTGGAGAAGGGGCACACGAGAACCTGCTGAGGCTGAGCGAGGCGCAGCGCGGGGTGCTGTGCTCCGGTCGGGGCAGCGCCAGGTGTGTGCAGACTGGGAGAAGAGCTCACAGAGAGCAGCCCTGCGCAGAGGGACGGGGGTTCTGGTGGACGAAGAGCTGGACGTGAGGCAGCAGCGTGCGCTCACAGCCCCGAAGGCCGACTGCATCCTGGGCTGCAGCAGCAGAGGGGGGCGGCGGGCAGCGAGGGGATTGTCCCCCTCTGCTCTGCCCTCGGAGCCCCCAGCTGCAGTGCTGCGTCCAGGCCTGGGGCCCGGCACAGCAAGGGGGGAGCTGTTGCAGCGGGGCCAGGGCAGGCGATGAAGATGCTCGGAGCTTGGAGCAGCTCTGCTGTGCAGACGGGCTGAGGAGCCGGGGTGTGCAGCATGGAGAGGAGAAGGTGAAGGGAGACCTCATTGCGGGCTTAAAGGGAGCTTATGAACAGGAAGGGGACCAACTTTTTACAGCAGCAGACAGTGAGAGGACAAGGAGAAAAGACTCTAAGCTACAAGAGGCGGATGCAGGTGAGATGTAGGGGAAATCCTTCCCTCAGAGGGCAGCGAGGCGCTGCCACTGCTGCCCGGAGCTGTGTGCTCCATCCATGGGGGCTCAGAGCCACGGCCGGACCCGACGGAGCTGGGGGTAGCCGGAAGGCGGCAGGGTGTACCGGGGGCTGAGAGGGCCTCCCGATCGGACACGCGGCGCTCTCCGATGCCGGCGCACCGCACGCAGAGCTCCGCCCGTCCCGGGGCCGCTGACGCCAAGAGCCGCGCCGTGCCGCGTTCTGTCACAGCTCACCATCGCTGCCCTGCTCCTCTTGCCGCCCGCCCGAAGCCCCTCCGCATCCCGTCCCGCGGTCCGCTTGCGGCCGTTCACGCGATCGGACCGACCCGCCATGGCCTCGCCGAGGAGCCGAGCCGAGCCGAGCCGAGCCGACAGCGCCTGCGCGGAGAGCGAGGGGAGTGCGCAGCCGCGGGGCGGGGAGCGGGGCAGGACCGCGGGCGGTTTGAAGCGGCGGAGATGGCTACGAAGCGGCTGGCCAGGTGCGGGCCGCGGCACATACCACTGGGCCAGGCCGGGCAGGGCCGGGCCGGAGCGGTCTCCTCTCGGCCTCCTCTCGGCCCGGCGCTGAGGCCGCCCCTTCCCGCAGATCGCTGGGGATGGCGCGGAGCGGCCGGAGCGGCAGGGTGACGGAGCGGCGATCCGGATTCGACTTCCTGCTCGTCCTCGACTTCGAGTCCACGTGCTGGCGGGACGCACGGCAACGCCGCCCCGAGATCAGTGAGTGCTGCTCCGGGAATGCCCGGCTGTGTGCGGGGTGCGATGTGCATTTGTGTGTTTGCGGGGTGCGATGTGCGTTTGTGTGTTTGCGGGGTGCGATGTGCGTTTGTGTGTTTGCGGGGTGCGATGTGCGTTTGTGTGTTTGCGGGGTGCGATGTGCGTTTGTGTGTTGCGGGGCGCCCGCGTGCCGCACTTGACACGGACGTGGTGTTTTCCTCCCGCCGCTCTCGCTGTGCTCCATCCCAGTTGAGTTCCCGGCCGTGCTGCTGAACGCCGCCACGGGGCGGATCGAGGCCGAGTTCCACGCCTTCGTGCAGCCGCAGGAGCAGCCCGTGCTCTCCGAGTTCTGCACGGCGCTGACCGGCGTCACGCAGGTATCCCGCTGTGACTTACACCGTTCGGTGCTCCTTTAAAGGGCCGAACCTCCAGCGGATTGCAGTCTGTACTGACGCTGGTGTTTCTCTATCCGCTGCCCAAAGAAACAAGTTGACGAAGGAGTCCCTCTGCACATCTGCTTGTCACAATTCTTGAAGTGGCTTCAGGAGATACAGAAGGAGAAGAAATTTCTGTTCATCTCAGAAATCCCAAGTAATGCCATTCCAGAGACAAAGCTGTGTGCTTTTGTTACTTGGACAGGTAGGCAACGTTCCCTTTTGCTTATTGCACAAAGCAGAGCGCATTAAAAAGGAGTCCTTGGTGGGACTGTTATCTGTGCCTGCTTTGGGACTGTCCTGCATTGATGGCCATAAGGCAGCAGTGCTCACCACCCCATCGCAGGGCTGCTGCTGATTTGTAGGTGGCTGTGCACCGTCTTGCCCAGCTGTTGGTTTGTTTGCTTGTTTGGTAACTCTGGCTTGTTCAGGTGAGAATAATGCCCAATTGGCAGAAGTTAGGATTAAAGAAACATTAATTCTTTGCTTGCTCTTGTCTTCCCTGTGCAGACTGGGACCTGGGCGTGTGCTTGCACTATGAATGTAAGAGGAAGCAGTTGCGAAAACCTGGCATCTTCAATTCCTGGATTGATCTCAAAGCGACGTACAGGGTGAGAAAAACCAGTAAGCTGGAACATAGGTCTGTGTTATAACCTCAGATGCTAATTGTATCACACCTACCAGGCAGCACTGTGTTCCAGTAATTAGAGTTACCCGACTTCTTTCATTCTGTGTTGTTGCACAAATAACAAACTGCATGTCTTATGACTGTAAACTTTAATAGAAATCATAATGCTAGGGAAGTAACGTGTTGTTAGATAAATTACTGATAATTGTTGGAGAATTTTTGAGCTATTCTTCTTTTCCTAGCATCTTTTGCTTGCTTGCTGCCTGGACTTCCCTGTTTTTCCTACACTGCTCTTACTGTCTTACATTGCTACCTAGAAAGTAGTGATCCTTGTCTGCTCAGCAGTTACATCAGGACGTAGTGTGGGAACTGTATTCTGACCAGAACAGTACTAGTACTGATCAGAGCAGTGCTAGTAACACTGAAAATGGATATCTACTGAGGAAATGAAAGATTGTTTTTATGGTGGTGGGTTTTTTCTTGGTTGGTTTTTCGGTCTACACACAAACAGGAGTTCTGTTGCAGCCAAGGAAACATTCAAAGGAGCGATCCAGGAGTTTGCCTGTCCCTAGTGCTGGAGCTCAGGCAGCAGATTTAGATCTCTAAAGTCAAACAACGTGATCAAGGGGAGAACCAGGGAGTCATATCTTTCCTTATTTAATATACTTGGCACATGCATATTGCAAAGGCCTAAGTTTAAAAATATATATATACAACAGTTTAAGCATCTCAAGATGTATTGTAATTGTATTCTTCGAGGCTGTTCTTTCTGTTAAGGCCTTTATTGATGTAAGGCATGAAGTGCAAATGGATGATTGCTGAACAAAGGTAGAGTGGATTAGTTTAAGACTGGAAGAGGAAGGAATCATTGTTCTTTCCATTCTTATCTGCTGTTGGTAATGCACGTGCTTTTTTATGCTCACTTATCACAGTAGTAACATGAAGAAATCTGACTTGCACAATGGCAGTGGGAGATTTATTATTCCTTAGGTGATATTTTGGAAGTGCTTTTCACTCCACTGTGAACTGCTGCATCTTAACCAGCCGCATGTTTCTCCTTAGGCCTTCTATAACAGAAAGCCTAAAGGGCTGAGTGGTGCTTTACAGGATTTGGGGCTGGCTTTTGTTGGACGGGAACATTCTGGTAAGTGTGATCTGATGAATCTCTCTCTGTATATGAATATATATAATATTATTTCCAGATAGTCCAGACTGTAGCCTTCTGGTCAATAAAACCATCCAAGTAGAAACAGCTGAGAGGTCAGAGTTTGCCATTTTTATTCTCATGCTTAATTTTAGAATTCCCTCCCAGAGCTTTTGTGTGTGCGTGCTCCACAATATCAAGTTCTGAGTTGCTTGGACATGAAAGGAAAAAGCGAGGAAGGGATAAGGAAACTTGATCTTACCTGACAGCTCATGAGTAGCTTATGAGTATGAAAGAATACAAACATAATATTAATTTTTGATATAGTTAATACGAAATAGGAAGGATTTTAACAGTTGTGGCTATATATTCAGCTACACGACTTCTTAAGTGTATGTACATGTTACTTTTCCTAGTGTATGGAAATGTTACTTGTCCTCTAATAAGAACTGTCAGCAGTAGTAGATTAAAAGGAAGATATCAATATATAACCATACTTTTGAAGGGTTGGATGATTCTCGGAATACTGCTCGTCTTGCTTGGAGGCTGATTTGTGATGGGTGTGTGCTGAAGATTAGTAAATCTTTGGATAAGGTTGGTCACTATTTCATATCTTTCCTCTACTAGTCTTGTAGCCTGAAATACAAGTGAAGGGTGAATCTTGAGTATGAACTGAACAGAATACCCTTAGGCTGACACTCTTGTTAGTTTTGTGCAGTGATTCCTAAAGCTTCTGGCTATTTACTTTCCAAAATCTCTTTTTGTTAATGGACTCCTAGTCCTGTCCTAGGAAGAACTTAATTTCCAGAACGCTGAATACCAACTCTGCTGACAAGACTCTGCCAGGAAGTAGCAGCAGCCTTGAAACATCCAGAGATGGATCTTGCAAGGCAAGCTCTCCGGCAGAGAGAAACCACAATGGTACTGCCGGAATTATGGTAAATTCCCGTGTACAATCTGCAGAACGGGCCACTTGCAGTGATTGCACCCCAGACATGCATGTTGTATCTGGCAGCAGCTCAAGGATTGATTTCCGTGAGGAAGTCCGAAGCTCTTCCACAGTATCTGCTGACAGATTTCCTCTTCTTGGACACGCACAGCAATCTCACAGTACTTTGTCACCAGGCATTCAGCAAGGATTGAACAGCGGGCATCTCATGAGCGCAGCAAGGTACAGCTCTCCAGTGTGTGGGTCAGGACTAGTACTTGTCTCCACCACCATCTCCTCAGTTAACACCTCCAGTGAGGATACAGGCACTCATTCTGATTGCTTGTCTCTGCTAGCTGACTGGGAAGATGTAGCTCTAATACCTAAATCTCAGTCTGAACCAAATTCAGACTGCGTTCAATCTGAGGAGGACTCAAGTACAGACATCTTAACTGTGTCTGAAGAAAAAACAATTCCAAAGCAATCGGCTGAGATCAGTTCAGGTGATCAAAGTTTGGGGAAAACTCTGGTACCCACAGAACCTCCTGGATCTATCGTTTACAAAAGTCCTGATACTACTATCTATAATGTAGGAATGGTACAAAGGCAGACTTCAAATCTTTCTGCCTTTAAGATCCCATCTGCAAAGGTAAATGCTATTTCTTCCCAATCAGTATTAATGAGAAATTATTCTGCTCCTTCTGAGGTTCCCAAAAGAAAGCCAACCAGTCCAGCAGCACTCCCACCAGCAAAAAAACAGTCTTTTGCTATCTATCAAGAGAAAACTCTGTCTTCAGATCATGCCTTACCTTTGAGAAATTTGAATTTGTCCAAAGCATCTCGCGCCATTCTGAGCTCCACAGTCAATCCAAATCAGTCTGTAACAGCTGTGCAAAATGAAAGACTAACTCCCCCTCTGTGTAACTGTGGTCGAAGGGCTAAAAGGCTCTATGTGTCAAATGCAGGTCCAAATCATGGCAAGGCTTTTTTCTGTTGTCCTGTTGGCAGGCGTGAAGGTAATAAGAGAAGTTGTGGATACTTCAAGTGGGAAAATGCATTTCTAAAAGAGAAATCTCTTGATATCACCATGAATGTAGATGCTTTGACCTCTCCTGGAACGTGCCCCAGCACTTCAGGAAATGATTCCAACAAATATTTGTTCCTCAGACCATCTATGAGAACTTGAAGCTTTTTAATTTGGTGGTTTGAATCTGAATCTCAGTTAACTGTAGTTAATGAAACTGGGGCAGTCCAGTGTCAAATACATGTTCTCAGCAGAGGATGAAAATAATGCTGCTTGGCTAATGTGGATGAAAATTGCAGTGTTTAAGCACACAAACATACCCATGTTGACAAGGTTGGAATGAGACAGAACAAATCACTGTGCTGCAGTTAAGGTGTGAGCAGCTGCTGTTACGTATCTTAAACTCCTACTTCATCATCACGTGCCTTAAATTCTTTGCTAATTGAGTCCTCAAACAATTTAATGATGTAGATTTTGCTTTTATACTATTTTTACTAAATATACTTGTAGAGATTTTTAACTGTAACTGTTAAATATGTATTTGTAAGTTATCATGCTGCTCAGAAGTGATTACTGAAGCAAGTGCTGTAGTAAATTCTTGTGATTTTTCTCATTTCAGAAATAATAAAGATAAAATGCAGTTTAAAGATGGTCCATTAAGTTTATTTAACACATCATCTACTGCCCTGCCCTCCTTATAAGAGAACTGTTGTGTCATTTGTGCCTGCCTGCTTTTGTGCTCTCCATGTGGCACTGGGGCAGCTGAGTGCTGGGGGTCAGGTGAGACTTAGTGAAAATGTCAACTAAGAGACATCATGTATCTTCACATTACTGTGTAAATCAGCATTATCTTATTTTGTTTAGAGAAACAAACAAAGCAAAAAGGCACTGGAACCCACACGCTATGTTAAAGCAGCAACACAACCCAAAACCCAAAGCATTCTAATATCTCCTCCACTCCTTCTGGCGTAGTTCATTTCTTCGGATCTTCCCGCTAATGGTTTTTGGCAGCTCTCGAACAAACTCCATCTAATGGGAAAGGGAAGGAATTACAGTACAAAATAATTCATTTCAGATGTGACTTCCCCTTGGAAGCCTCACAAGCGGTGTAATAGTTGATACGTGCTTTCTTATGGTCATGACAATTTCTTAAAGAATTTGGATAATTGACGACTCACTTTCCGAGGATACTTGTATGGAGCAGTAGCTTTCTTAACGTGGTCTTGTAGCTCTTTCATCATTTTTTCTGGATCATGTGAGACGTAGTTGGGCGTTAAAACAACAAAGGCTTTCACTACCTTGAAGACAATAAGGGAACAGAAGGTCAAGCGATGATAAAACATCATACAACAGTCAGATTTGAAAGATTGGTTTAACTTTCACATTTACCAAACGTTCATGTGCAAACTGCAGAATAACAAATACGACAAACAGCTATGCCAATGTTGTGTGTTTGTCTGGACTATGGGGATAGTCAAAAGGGGAAATAGTGGAATGCAGAGGAAAAGCTTCAAATTGTGCTTTGGTTATGTTGGATGTGGGGTAATAACCGTGGTCTGTTTTTCTGGTTAGACATATCTGACAGAGTAGAAATGCCAATTTGTTTTTATTCAGTTCCAAAATTCCATCACTGGGTAGACTAATCCACTGGAAGCTGGTCTTCCTCAGCCACGGAGTGCTTAAACCTCCCTTTTACCTAAAATGTGCTTGTTTACCTCTCCCCTGATGGGGTCTGGACTGCTGACAACTGCTGATTCCACCACTGCAGGATGCTCTATTAGAGCACTTTCTACTTCAAATGGTCCGATGCGGTATCTTTAGAATGGAGATAAAGGTTCTTTATTTGTACTTGACACACACAAACACATCTTGTCTGAATCAGCTCTATTATTTGTGCTGGCAGATGTATTGTTAATCAGTTTGATTTACCCAGCAGAATTAATGACGTCATCAGCTCTCCCAACAAACCAGAAATATCCATCTTCATCCATGAGCCCCCTGTCTCCAGTAACATAGAAATCCCCACGGACCGTTGCCTTTGTTTTCTCTGGATCATCCTAGGAAATATTAAATTGTGTTTCGCTTAAAGGCTACTTGGAAAATAAAATAAATTGCATTCTAGTAGATTCATGATCAGCAGGAATATTCAGTGGGACATTAATAATAAGCAACAATAGATTATTAATTCACTATTATCAGCCCATAAAGCAAGACATAGTTGATGATTGGACAAGATGGCCTCTTCCAACCTTAATGATTCCATGATAATAGGCTGATATCATCTCCAAAATTTAATGTAGTTTCCTGTTGTAAGAACTGAGAGCACTGTGTTTGTTTTTCTGATTCTGGGACTGAACATTTGAACTGAAATGGAAACAAAAAACGCTGTGCTCAAAACACTAGATGGAGCCCAGTTCTGTACTGAAGGTAGTTGAACAGTGTCCCCACTTCTCAGATGGGGTTTCTAGCCCTCTGACCAAAGGGTATTTGGGGACTCGGGGAGCAAGCTGTTAGAGATTTCCCTTTTTATTAAGCCAATAATAAAAAAAAAAAAGTGGATTCAGCTTGCTAGGCAAGGCGCTGTCATCGACCAACTAACAACTTGTGTATGTAGACTAAGCAGCTGCATGAAAAGAAAAGGAAATTCTTTCCTTCCCAGGGGTTTTTAGACATCTAAGCAGTATATGTAAATGAAATGAGGCACGGATTCCTTGGCAGAGACTTAACATGGCATCTGCTTTTGCTGGAGAAGCGTTCTTACAGTATAGCAAGTAAAGAGGAAAAGTGGTCTTGTAGGTTTTACTTTGATGGCAATGTCTCCTTCTTTTCCAGGAGGCAGAATATTACCGTTTTCATCTATAATCTGAAAATAAGCAAAACAAAACTTTATTGTCTTTGAGCCAAATTGAAAAGCATTATATTAATATTATAGAATCTTAATACCATTTAAAATTATTTGGAGCATTGGAGGTGAGTCTGACCCTGAAATTACAGTGTCAGCTTAATGCAAATCCACTGTACCTCACACTGTTTTTTATCTGAGCAATTCCCAGTACTATGAAAACGTAATGAACTTAGTAAGACTCCAAAGAGGTTAAGTAATGAACGTGAAAACAGAAGAAGCTGCTAAAAGGCTTAGAAAGGTAATAAAAATCTCAAACTATATTGCAAATATTGCCAGAATTTACTTCATCAGCTTTGTTATCCCCAAAGAAATAAGTTCGCCCTCTTTGTTTACTCAGTAATTTGACTTCCATCATTGCCTTCCCATCCAATAGTGCGCTGTCATCTATGTCATCCCACTGAGGCTGGTGCAAGAGGTGTGACTGCTCACTTCCACACTGCGTTTGGGTCAGTAACGTACTTGTAATCCATTCCTTGTGGAATGATGCTGCATAGCACAGTGCCACGCTAAAGCTCTTAAACCTCTTTGATGGCAACTGACTATCTGAGAGATGGCAGTGCCACCAGAGGTGCCATACCTTGACATCATACCCTGGAGATGGCTTTCCCATAGAGCCAGGTTTAATTTCCATTCCTTTAAAATTTCCACAGACCAGCACCTGTAATCAATATTTTTCTCAGTCAAACAGTGGCTTGTATATTCAGTCTTTAGCTTAGGTTCAGAAGACTCAGCTAACATAACAAACTTCTGTAGGAAATAATGATCCCTTCATTATAATCATACATCCAGTGAAATAAATGACTCTCTGGAAATCTTGCCCAGAACCGCAAACAGTGTGAGCATTCCAAAGGTAGAGTTCAAAGCAGAATTTGGAAGGAGGTCATGAAGAGTGCGTCTCACGTGAAGACCAGGCCTTGGATTTTTTTGGGAGTCTTATGAGTTGAAAAAACTGTGTTTTCATTGTTACCTATTGGAATTGACTTTTTCCCTAAAAGTCACAACTGCTGTAATAGTGATGATGAGTTTGTGTTGCTGGGATGTGGTGAAGTGAGGAGGAGTACGTAAACCTAATACAACTGTGTACAATCTTTTTAATGGCTTTTTCTTGGCAAACTGAATAGAATTTATACGCTTTTCACCTGTAAAGCTTAACGTACAGTTTCTGTTTGTCCGTAGCCTTCATGGATATCCAGCCCCGTCCATGCTTTCCACTCAGCCATCACCTCGGGGTTGACTGGCTCCCCGGCGCTCACACAGTGCCGCAGGCTGTTGAATGTGCAGCTGGAAAGAGAAAGCAAATGACTCCAGTTATGTCTACTGTGTCCCATTTGCTGCAGTATTCCTGCACTGTGGGGGACCTTTCTACACAAATTGCTGTTCCATTTGAACTGTGCAGAGCTAAACAATGACAAATCTGAAAATAGCAGAAGAAAGAAAGAAAAAAAAGCTTTCTGTTTTACTTCTGTATTATTTGGAAAATCTAATAATGCGATGTTTCCAGTCCTAGAGTCTGAACTGGAGCCTGGACCAAGGAGGAATAATGAAGTTCAACCCTGCCAGTGAGAACCCAGTGAGGCCGAGATGTCTCTCATACGTGTCACTGACCGTACCGACACACACTTCATGGGGAGCACACTACTGGTGGGACATAGGAGGGGAACAGAGGGAAGGAGAATGTGACAGTAAAAGTATTTCTGAGTGTTAAGTATGATACCATGCTGCCTTCGACTGTCGCTTACAAAGTCTAAGGTGGTACCTGAAGCATTTATTCTGACTTTATTCACAATAAATGAGACTTAAGGTGTTGAGAAACACACAGTCTGAGTTCCTGTTTACCTCTGTGAATGTGGAACAAAATCAGAGAGCTGAGCACTTGGCACACTGCTTTGATGGAAGACACTGCTGGGGACATGGCCTCGGCTTACCTGGGCGGCTGGTGCTGCACGAGCATTCGGTAGGCAGTTGGGGCTGAGCAGAAGACAGTTATGGGAAACCTTGACAGGCTCTAAGGAGTTCAGAATAGTAAAAACCAATGTGGTCAATATAGGCTGTGAGGTCTCATCTGCAATATAAGAGATGTAATGGCATCTGCCTGCATCAGGCTTATGAAACACACAAAATATTAGTGTCTTAAAATTATAATATTAGTGTAGCACAGCAGTTACATTTATTTAGTTTTTTTTTTTCTCCAAAACAGAATCTGCATCATGTTACAATGGGTTCGTTACGCCAGAGCTTTGCACTCCGAGAAGGTCTGAACTCCTCCTAGCGGAGCTGCTTTGTAATTGCAATTTAGGGAGAAAAAAAGTGAAATCCTAAACCTACGTTTTTAGATGTCCTCCAGGACTAAAACTGAAAGCGTTCTCCAACACAGCCTGGTGTTACCTAGCAGCTCCCACCACCTCAGAAGGGGTGAAGTGGCGGTACTCTTTTACAAAGGGTAAGAAGTTGTGTGTGGAGAATGGAAGACAATATGATATTGATGGCATTTGTTAAAGGAATTCAGCCTTGCTGCCTCCTTACCCCTTACCACTGAGTTACACGGTGCAGGCAACCAGCAC